CAGGCGTGCATCACCACGCCCGGCTTTTACTGTGGCTTTTAATTGGAGTGGCTCTGCCGTCCAGGAGACATTTGACTGCATGGGAATTTTGTGTCCTGTCCATACCTCTCTTCTGTTTTGGTTTAGGGGCTGTAAAGACTGGGGTCGTTACTGCCGTCTAGTGGCCTGATGGGGGCGGTGCAGCTAAATTTAATGACTCCCTGAGTCATGGAATCCTGTAGACTAAACTGTCAGTTGGCTGAAACTGGGACACCCTTTCCTCAGGTGGGTTCCCAGCCTAGGCCTGGTCTGGAGGAAATTCTGTGGCCATCCCCTTCTGTCCAGCTCCTCAGATAACTTGCCATGACTCCTGCCCTGCTCTAGAGAGGACTGTGGCTTCCGTCCTGCCTCTGCTTGGTTCTTGTTCCCAACCACATATATCCAGGATGATAGCTCTGAGGGTCTTTGCTCCCACATGTGCCTAGCGCGTACTTAATTCATTAGCTGAGGAGAAGTGAAGGCATTGGTTCAGGCATCTTGCAGAGTGCCTCTTCCACAGCCCTCTGCTGTTCCCTTCTGCTGTTCACTTGCCCGACCCTCCCTCTTCCAAGTGCCATTTCTAGCCTGGCCCAAACATTTCCCCAAAGGGCTGCTGTCTGCTATCCCTGTAAATAACTATGCCAAGGATACCAAGCATCGATGCTGGTAATCTCTCTCCTGGCTTTCTGCAGCTCTCCCACCAGTCCTTGATTCTTGACAGCAGTACCTGGTCCCCACCAACTCTGAACCAGATTTGACGTTAGCCCCATATCCACACAGCGGACAATGAATGTCGTAGTTCCAAATCTTAAAGGAGGATCTTAAAGGGACTTATCTTCCCATCCAGGATACCCTAATATCTAGATATCAAAAATACGCTGTTATTCATTGCTTTCTTCTGCCCTATATTGGAGATTAAGGAGGCCATACGCTAAAGGAGGAAGAAAAGGACATGAACTGGACATTCTGGCTCTGTGCATACTTTCCTAACCAAGGTGTGAATGATTCCCTCAGGATGGAGGCCATGTTTCTAGGAAGAGCCTGCTTCTGGGGTTCAAAGATGTCTGGGCTTCAGTTCTGCCCCCTGCTGCCCTCTCACTTAGATTTCTCCATCAAACTTCTCAGCCCAGCCTCTGGTTGTTTTCAACTTTAATGAACCTTTATAGCATCCTTGCACTTGTTTTTATATCTTAAAATGAATTTTTAACAAGTTGATTTTTCTACATTTGAGAAATACAAGTCTAGAAGAAATTTGGAGAAAACTTAATACCACTACTTCCCAAACTCTTTAATGAAATTGAAAGAGAAGCCGTACTCCCAGATTCTTTCCTGGAAGCAACAAGCATTACCCCGATAACAAAACCAGAGAAGGATCCAACCAAAAAACAGAACTACAGGCCAATCTTCTTAACAAACATAGATGCAAAAAACCTCAATAAGATACTGGTAAACAGAATGCAACAAATCATCAAGAAGATTATACAACATGACAAGTAGGATTTATCCCAGGGATTCAGGGATTGTTCAACATATGCAAATCAATAAATGTAATACACCGTATCAATAGAGCCAAGAACAAAAACCATGTGATCATCTCAGTATATGTAGAAAAAGTATTTGACCAAAGGTCAACACCCTTTCATGGTTAAAAACCTTACAGAAAATTGGAATACATGATCTTGATCTCAATCTGATAAAAGCCATCTATGACAAACCAACAGCCAACATCATACTAAATGGAGAAAAGCTGAAAGCTTTCACTCAAATCAGGAACAAGACAAAGATGTCCACTATCTCCACTCTTATTCAATATAGTTCTGGAAGCATTAGCTAGAGCAATTAGAAAAGAGAAAGAAATGAAAGGAATAAGGATAGGAAAGTAAGAAGTTAAATTATTATTTGTGGATGGCACGATACTCTCCATAGAAGACCCCAAAAAATCCTCCAAAAGACTTCTAGATTTGACTACCAAATTCAGTAGCATAGCTGGATACAAAGTTAATACTCAAAAATCAATAGCCTTCTGTACACAAATGAACTGAAAGAATGAAAGAAATTAAAGAAATAATTAAAGAATTAAAGAAATAATACCTTTAACAATAGTATCCAAGAAAATGAAATACGTGGAAATCAAATTAACAAAGAGAGTAAAACTATAGTGCTCTGAGAAAGGAGATTGAAGAGGATATCAGAAAATGGGAAGATGTCCCTTGTTCTTGGTAGGAAGAACTGATAGAGTGACAATGGCCACACTTCCAAAATTGTTATACAGATTTAATGCATTCGCAATCAGAATTCCAACAGCATATCACAGAATTACAGAACAATCCTAGAATTCATTTGGAACCAGAAGAGATCTAGAACACCAAAAGCAATTCTGGGCAACAAAGGCCAGGCAGGGAACATCACAATCCGCAACTTGAAATTATAGTACAAAGCTACTGTGATAAAAACAGCATGATAATGGCAAAAGAGCAGATCTGAGCATCAGTGGAACAGATTAAAGGATTCAGAAACAACTGCAGATATACTCAACCACCTTATATTTGAAAAGCCAAACACCTTCACTAGAAGAATGATAGCCTCTTTAATAATGGAGCTAGAACAACTGGGTTTCAACTTGCCCAAGATTAAAACTAGACCCATATGTTTCACTATGCACTAAACCAAAATCAAAGTAAATCAGAGATTTTTAAAATAGAAACACTAAATTTGCTAGAAAATAGAATAGGTAGAACTCTCAAAGACATTGGTTTAAGGAAAGACTTTATGAACAAAATCCTGATCACAGGAATTATCACAAGGAATTAACAACTGAAATGTCATTTTATTAAAAAGCTTTTGTGGGCTGTGGACTTAGCTCAGTGGTTCTGTTTCCTGCCTCACAAGCAGAAGGACCCAAGTTTGATCCCCAGTACAAAAAAAAAAAAAAAAAAAAAAAAAAAAAAAAAATTAAAAAAAAAAAAAAAAAAAAAAAAAAAAAAAAAAAAGCTTTTCACAGCAAGAGACAGTAGCAGAGTAAAGAGACAATCCAGTGTGGGGAAAAAATTGTACCATCTGTTTCTCAGACAAAGGACTAATATCTAGAATACATAAGAAATAAAAAATAAGATTCCCACATTTAAAGACCAAATCCAAAATTGAGCATCTGAAATGAACTTTTCAGATGAAGTATAAATGGCAAATAAATACATGAAAAAAATGTTCAATATCACTGGTCCTTTGAAAGATTCAAATTAAAACAATACTGGCATTCCATCTCATTCCAGAAAGAATGGCTATTATCAAGTAAGCAACCAATAACATGCTGGTGGGACTGTGGGGAAAAGGAACCCTTCTCCATTTGTGGGAGGGTAGACTTGTGCAACCACTATGGACATCAGTGTGGAGATTCCTCAAAAAACTAAAACGAGGTTCAGTTTGACCCAGCTATTCCCCATCTTGATATCTTCTCAAAAGAATGAAAAGCATACCACAGCCATATATGCACACCTTTATGTTTAGCGGCACAGTTTGTAACAGCTAAATCTTGGAAGAAGCCTGGTGATCATGCAGGCTCAAAGCTGGGCTTCTGTGATGCCCCCCCCCAGGAGTCCTGCCCCTAGGTCACTGTCCTCTACTCCTTCTGGATACTGTCCAGTGTCTGGGAGCATTTGACACACGCGCTTTATCAGGCTCTGTACTTATTTGGTGCTGACAGGAGGCTGGTCCTTGGCATCCTATCAGAGGCAGAAGTCAAAGCTCTGAATTAATTTTGAAATAAAATCTATGTGGGAGGTGGGGAAGCTGCTCTCGTAGCTCTCCTTCCTAATAGGGTGACCATGGCCAAGTCATTTCACCTATCTATACCTCTCCTCTTTATGGAGTAAGAACCTTTAGCAATAATATGATGATTATATTACTTCCTACTTGTATCATTTATTGTGGCACTTACCAGAATGGCCATGACCTATAGCCCTCAGGAAATGCTGAGATCATGACCCAGAATCATCCTGGACAAGAAGGGTTGTGTGGAGCCCACCACAGTGGTGATGTCTCCCTGGGGACTGAGACTTTCTGCAAACCCTGAACTACTTGCATTCTTGGGCCTCAGGGACTGCTCCAAATGGTACCTGCTGCCTCACAGAGCACTCTGGTCCTGAGTACACACAGCCCCAAATCCGGCACACCTGTCAGATCCAAGCCATGGTCCCTCAAGGGTTTCAGGACCGCCCAGGGAAGGAGAGTACTCTGGTCAGAATGAGGCATCGTCACATGAAGAGACAGGAACTCTTAAGTGAGGCTGGGTACCATGGGGATAGGAACCCATTTTTTAATTTCCATTCCAACGGCTTGCATCTGCTCAGGAACCCTTGGGATCCCACAAGGGCTTCCTCTGAGGAAAGAGACGGCTGTTCTAGCAACTTGTGCCACCACTGCACCTCTCCAGCCTTGGGGAAAGATGAAGAGTTGGAGGAGGAATATGACAGTGAGGACCTCAAGTTTTCAAATGAATTTTCACAGGTCTCCAGTGGACAGAAACCTGCATCCTGCAGACAGCAGCACCACTTTCTGACCGAGGAGCATAATTAGGAAGGCCGGAAATGAAATCATATAGGTAAACGCAGAATCCTGGGGTTGCGGGGAGCAGAATGTGTCAGCTTGCCAGTCAGGCTTCTCTCAGGTGACTGAACTGCTGGTGCTGGTGGGAGAGTGCGTGGACACTTGTGGCCTCTCATCTGTACGCAGGCAGCTGAAAGGCGTGGTCGGACCTTTTTCAAGTTTGCTAGGAGCTTGGGCAACGATGCTGAGGGGCTGGCCCAGGGAGTGTTCCAATTTCTAAGCCAGGAATTTCACCATGGGGCAGGGCTGTTCACCTGTTTCCTTAGGGTAATGCTGCCCCTAGTATGGCCCTCTTTTTGGGCTGTCTGCAGTTGGCCTGGAAGTTTCTGGTGGGCCTAGGTGACTGGTTAGACTGGAAGGAGAAAGCCACCTGGCCATTTCTTGGCTGGATTCTCCCGCCTTGCAGCATTGCTTAACTCTGCTGAGACATAGCAGCCTATGGAACTAGCCTAAGAATACTTCAGTGCGGAGGCTAGAGTTGCCTTGGTTCAAGCAGGGCACTCATAGCCAAGGTGATGCAGCTGTAGCTAATGAGGAAGTGGGTTCCAAAGGATGGGCTAAACCCCTTCCACGTGCTAGGTGTTGAAGCCAGATGCTGACCTGAAGAAAGCCTATGGGCAGCTGGCTGCAGTGGTTCATCCTGGTAAAAGTCACCATTCCCGGGCTGAGGAGGCCGTCAGTGTTTTAAGTGCAGTGTGGGACATGGTCACCAACCCTGAAAGGCAAGACACATGTGAGATGAACGGCATGGCAGGGAGTGAGCAAAGCTGCTCAGTGCCTGAGTTTCTGTGCGGGAAGCGGTGACTACTGATGCGTAGTCGATGCCAAGGAAAGCTTAGGTTTGAAATGGACGGAACTGAAGGAGGAGTGCCAGGTCCTGCGTGAGTGCCACAGGCTGAGTCCTGCTGAGGAAGGAGACTTCTGGGCAGAGTCGAGCGTGTTGGCCTCAAGATCACCTGCTTTGCACTGCCGGCCAGAAAGGTCCATGACATTCCAGAGTGGGCTGGGATCTCCCCAGACACCCGTAGAGTCCTCGTCCCATCTCAGGCGGCTCTGGGACCCTAGGCTCTGGTGGCTGGCAGCGAGCCCCTCCAATACCCCTCCTGCTGACCTTCAGGATTTCGCGAGCAGTCTCCCCGTGCGTCAGGCCAGATGTCCAGTGGGAGCTTCTCTCATCTCCTCAGTCTGGCCCTGGGGCACTGCAGCCTCCACACGCAACAGCGCAGCACCAAGGGAGAAGCCGAACCAAGGTTGTGGAGGAAAACGAGGAGCCCTTCCCACATTGACGCTCCTTCTCTGTTTTCCTGTGGCACAACGCAGGGTAGAAATGGATCTGTTCATTTTTAAAGATTTTAAAAAGGGAAATTTTTAAGCTTAAATTGTTCACTAGTACTCACAGGAAACCCCTGCACCAGTGTCCCTCCTCCCCGGCACCCAGGAACTCAGTCTTGCCTTCTGACAATACCAAGAAATGCGGAAGGGGTGGCTAGAGCAAAGAACCCAGGGCCCAGATCTGGGCTGGACAGTACCTCCCTTTGGTGGTGGTAGTGGGGTATGTGTTTCCCTGGGGTCGGTATCCCTCTGTCTTGTCATTTGCTTTTAAAGGAGGAGTCTGTTAAACTAGGAGACGTCTATCTTATTTCTTGGCCCATTTTAGGGGAGAGTGGCCATTATCCTGATATACTAGGTAAAAGAACAAGGAAGCACGTAGGCCTAATTTTGGAGATTCATACAGTTCAGACAGTAGAAACAATTTGTCCTGACTTTCTCTGTGTGGGTCAATCACCCAACTACAGGCCTATTGTTGCCAGAATGGCCAAAATTAGTAAATTTTAAAAAGTAGCCTCATGCCCTCTGCCCTTGGGTAAGGGGAAACCATAGGGTATTCTCATATGCCTCCTCGTTATCCAAGGGTTTGTATTTTTTAAAGTTTGTTCGTATTTATATGTTCATATGTATTTAAAGTGAAGGAATTGTCTTATATTAAATATATAACTGCCCCCCCAAAGAAATTCTGTTACTGACAGAACTGAGATTGAGCCTCTGTTACATTACAGTACTGTGATTCCCATATTAAAGGCTCAGTGTGTAGAAGCTGGTCCCCATGTCCAGGGCCACACCATGGGCAATGAGGCTTAACTGGAAGCAGGGGAGTGTTGATTGCGCCCTCTATTGGTAGGCCCTAGCTTCTGGGCTGCAGCCGGGATCCTCCTCCTTTTATTTTTTTTTAATTTTATTTTATTTATTTAGTTAGTTAGTTAGTTAGTTTTTGGTACTGGGGCTAAAATGCGGGTCCTTGCTTTTGCTAGGCAGGCGCTGGAATCACTGAGGTAAATCCCCAGCCCTCATTCAATTTTTTTTCATGGTTCTAGGGCTTGAAACCAGGGCTTTTGCACTGAAGTACATCTCCAGCCCTTTTTATTATTTTATTTTGAGACAGGGTCTACTCCCTGAGAGGCTTCTGGAGCTGTCAGTGTGGTTCTCTAGGTTTTTATGGTATCCAGATGAAGCCTGTGGAGGAGAGGTGCACGGAGGAGAGTGTGTCAGCCAGGTTTTCATTGCTGTAATTTGCAGGAGGAAAGATCTACTTTGGCTGTAGTTTCAGAAGTCTCAAACCATGGTCATCCGACTCCATTGTGCTTAACCCCGTACGAGGTAGAAACAGCATGGCTGAGGTACGTGTAGAGGAAAGCTTCTCATCTATGGCAGTCGGCAAGCAGAGAGGGAGAGGGAAGGAGCCAGAGTGAGAGGAACCAGGGATAACGTATGGTCCCTACGGTCACACCTCCGAGCCCCGCTGCCTCCGCCAAGGCCCACCTTTCCAGTCACCCAGTCCCTGTCACCTCAGTGGTAGATAGGGTGGATGAGCTATTGATGAGGTTGGGACGCTCATGTAATCACTCCTCTGAAGCCCCGCCTGAATGTTGCTGCTTTAAGGACTAAGCCTTCAACACAGCGAGCCCTTCGGGGGACATTTGAGATCCAGTCTATAGCAAGGAAGATATAAGTGGGTGTACACGTTACAGTCCATACTATGGGAAGCTTTGAGTTCATGTAAAACAGTTGTAGATTTCTATCCTGCCAGAACATGTTTGATGGATGCCGCACAGGTCACCTCCACGTACCTGCTATATTGCATACTAAGTGCATGGTAATGAAATACATTTCTTTTTTAAAAGTCCCATCTTAAGTTGACTTATTTATTTTAGAAACTACATTTTATATTAGTATCTTAATAGACATGGATTGTTCTTTTGGAATGCCACTATTTTTCTATGAGACAACAGAAAGGATCAAAAATGGGATCATGTCAAAAATAAAGCTGCCAGGCATGGTGGCACACCCCTGAAATCCCAGCACTCGGGAAGCTGAGGCAGGAGGATCGCTGTGAGTTTGAGAACAGCCTGGACTACATAGTGAGTTCCAGGTCAGTCTCAACTACATAGTGAGACCCTGTCTCAAAAAACCAAAAAAAATTTTAAAAATAAAACAAAACAGAACATACCTAATGACCTCATCAAGTCCACACAGAGTCCCAGCAGTGAACAGGACAAAGGGCTGAAGGAAGCCCAGCTGGAAGCTGCCAGAAAACAGCCTTAGAGCCCAAAGGTACCCTCTAGCCGCAGAGTCCAGCTTGGAAATGCAAAGCCCTAAACCTGGAGGCCTCAGGTTTCATGGGCTTCTCTGTGCTCCAAGGGTTGCTGTCGTCTGGTGCGCCCTATTATTGGAAGAATGAAACTGAAACTTCCACTTTGATGTAAATGTGAATGATCTGTACCATCACACAATCGAGCTGAAGGATAAGAGAGACAGCGTTTGTGACTGGGCCTTCCCTGTAATGCATTTTCTCAATCTTTATTAAGTTTATTGGTACATTTTAGTTGTACAGTACCGTTACATTCGTCATTGGAATCTTGTATCTTTACATGACTTATCTTGGATCTTATTTTTCCCCATTCCCTAGCCCTCCCTTCCCCCCCTCCACCCTTCCCTGTTTACAAAGATACTGTTTCCATGTTTTCCTTTTCCCATACTTTTTCTTTTCCCTTTTTATTTTTCCCCATTTCCTCTACTCCTTTAGACCTTTTCATCCTATTATACAATATCAAATATACATTTTGATCCTTATTTATACTTTCAGTTTTTCACTCCAGAAAAACTATTCAGTATTTATGCCCGTGTGACTTATTAATTAATTTCACTTAAATGTGTGGCCTCAGTGTGCATCCACTTAGCAATAAATATCTCTAGTTTCTTGTTTTTTATGGCTGAGAAGTACTCCATTTTGTTTTTTCAAAATCTTCTTTATTCAGTATCCTCCTGATGGGCAATTGAGCTGTTTCCAAATTTTAGCTATTACAAACTGCCCCTATATACATGGGTGAGCATATATCACTGTGGTATGGTTCTTTTAATTATTTTGGGATGATACCCAGCAGAGGAATAGCTGGGTCAAATGGAACTTCTAATCCTAGGTGGTTTTGTTTTTGTTTTTTTGTCATTTTGGGTACCAGGGATCAAACTCAGGACCTTCAACTTGCGAGGCAGACAGCGGCACGACTGAGCTAAATCCCCAGCCCTAATCCTAGTTTTTGAGGCATCTCCATATTGATTTCCAAAGTGGTTGCACCGGTCTGCATTCCCACCAACAATGAAGAAAGGTTCCTATCTCCCCACAACCCTACCAGCATTTGTTATTGGTTGATTTCTTGATAGCAGCCATTCTTACTGGGGTAAGGTGGAATCTCAGTGTTGTTTTCGCCAGCACTGTCGAATGACCAGGATGTTGAGGATGTTTTTTCATGTGTTTATTTGCTGCTTTTACTTCTTTATCTGAGTAATGTCTGTTCATTTCAGATGCCCATTTTTTAATTGGGTCTTTATGTTTGGGGGAGTCTGATTTTTTTGAGTTGTTTATGTATTCTAGATAGTAGATCCTTGTCTAAAATTTTTTTTTTAATTTTTTTCCCACACTGTCAATTGTTCTTAGTTCTGCTTGCAGTTTCTGTCAGTGCAGCAGCTTTTTAAAAAGATGAGATCCCAATTGTTGATTTTTTGCGCTAGTTCCCACGCTACTGAGGATTTGTTCAGAAGTTCTTTTCCTATGCTGATATCTTTGAGAGTTCTACCTATCTTTCAGCAAGTTTAGTCTTTCTGTTTTAATATTTATATCTTTAATCCACTTGGATTTTAGTTTAATGCATGGTGAAAGATAATGGTCTAATTTTAATCTTTGACAAGTTGAAACCCAGTTTTTCCAATACCATTTATTAAAGAGGCTGTGTTTCCTCCACTGAGGATGGTTGGCTCCTTTGTCAAAGGTGAGGTGGCTGAGTATGTCAGGAGTTGTTTCTGCATCTTCTAATCTATTCCACAGATCCTTGGGTCCGTTTCTTTGCCAGTACTGGGGTTTCTTTATTGGTAAACTTTTAATTACATTTTCAATTTCACTGATTGTAATTGGATGTTTAGAATTTTTATGTCTTCTTTGTTCAACTTTGGTAATTTGTATGTATCTCAAAATCTATCCATTTCTTCTGTGTTCTCCAATTTATTGGAGTACAGATTCTCAAAGTAAGTACTGATGATCCACTGAATCTGTTGTGACTTTACCATTTTCATTCCTAATTGCATGAATTTGAGACTTCTTATTCCTTTTTTTAACGAGGTTGGCTAAGGGTTTATCAATTTTATTTATTCTTTCAAAAAGCAATTCTTTATTCATTGATTTTTTTTGTATCATTCTCTTAATTTCCATTGCATTGATTTCTGCTCTGTTCTTTATAATTTCCTCCCTTATACAAGCTTTGTGTTTCTCTTGCTCTTCTTTTTCTAGGAGCTTAAGATTTACCACTAGGACCAATAAACTCAATGAGAGAAAAAAAAAATTAACACTAGGTTGTTTATTTGAGCTCACACTTTTTTCCTAGTTTGGGCATTCACTGCTATGAATTTCCCACATAAAACTGCTTTCATTGTATCCCATAGGTTCCTGTATGTTGTATTGGCATTATTATTAAATTATAAAAATCATCTAATTTCTTCTTTAATTTCTGCTGTGACCCATTGGTTGTTCAGAGTGTTAATTCACTTTCTACCTGTTTGTGAAGCTCTTACATTTCTTATGCTATTGATCTCCAGTTTGTTTCACTTACTTGCTTACTTTTTTATTTTGGTAGTGGGGAAATGTATTTCTAGTCCTTGAACTTGTGAAGCAGGCAGCCGAACCATTGAGCTAAATCCCCTCCCTTGATCTCCAGTTTAATTGCATTATGGTCTGAAATATACAGAGGATAACTTCAGTTCCTTTACATTTACTTATACATGTTCTATGAGCTATCTTGTGGTCTATTTTGGAGAATGATCCATTTGCAGTCAAAAAGAATGTATGTTCTGATTTTGTGGGGTAGGACACTGTAGACATCTATCTATTAAGTCCATTTGTTCAAAAGCGTGGTTCAGTTCTAGTATTTCATTGTTGATTTTTAGTCTACATGATCTGTCTATTTCTGACAATGGGGTATTGAGGTCCCCGCTACAATTGTATCAGTGCTAATTTGGTGTTTCATGCCCCTTAATATTTGTTTTGTGTAGTTGGGGGCATTAGATGCATTTTTTTCAGGTACTGGGCAAATATATCACCAACCCTTTTTATTTCTTATTTTCAGATCAAATCTTACTACGTTGTCCAGGTTAGATTGAATTTTCGATCCTCCTACCTCAGCCTCCCTTTGGAGCTAGGATTATACATGTGGGCCATGTCATATGGCATTTATTAGGTTGAGGAAGTCCCATTCTCTTCCTAGTTAATTAAGGTATTGAATTAGGTCAAATGCTTTTACTATATTAGTTCAGATGACTATATAGGAGACTTTCCCTTCGTCTCATTACTATGAACTATTATTGATTGATTTTCCTATGTTGAACAATTCTTGCATTCTGGAAACAAAGATCATTGGTCATGTACAATGCATTTTATATGCTGCCAGATTGAGTCTGCTGCTATTTTGTTAAATAATTTTGCATCTATATGGACAAGGGATATTGGCTTATTCTTTTCCTTTTTACCACACATAACACTTACCTTCTAAAATGCTATCTTAGTTACTTTCTTATTGAAGGGACAAAATACCCATCACCTACCAGATGAAGGAAGAAAAGTTTATTTCAACTCACAATTTGTAAAGGTTTCATTCCATAGTTAGTGGGCTCCAAGGCAGCACAGCGTGATAAAGGGACATCACAAAGGAGAAACAGCCCATGGCAGAGCAGGCAGGAGGCAGCAAAAAGAAACAGTAGCAGCAAGTCTCCTTTGCTTTTTATCCCATCCAGGCTGCAATCATTTTGGGTGGTGCCACCCACACCCAGGATGGGCCGTCCCATTATCCACACCCAGAACTATAATTAATGGACTAATCCGGTACCATTTACCCTTAATCCCAGTATCACACATCCCAGATCAGCCACTTCCAAAATGCCCCACCTATGATTTTATGAGGCTTTGGAGAAATATCTAAATACAAGCCATGACAAATGCTACATAATTATGTATGTGTCTTATTGTCTACTTCCTACCTGTCCAAAAGTTCTTCAAAAACAATGATCTTTTTGTTCACGGATGTATTCCAAAATGTTTCCAATTTGGCTTGGCAGCTAGCAAGAGCTCAACACCCTTTTTGCTGAATATCTGCAGGAGAAATTGATCTCTTCTTGTGCATTATCCAGTGCCCTCACTATCATTTATGCAAATTCAGAGCTGGAAGACACAGTTCTCCCACCCAGAAGAATAAAGAACACAAGCCCTGGAGGGGTTAGGGTTAGGGTAAGGGAACCCTCCCATGGGGTATGGCACCCAAAAATTCAACCAGGTCCCACCATGCAGATAAATATGTAGAACTACTCTTCTGGTGCAAATTTATGTGCACAAAAATATGCATTTTATTATGTTTTTACATCCTATGTTTTGAGAAATCAAATCCCTATTGGTATTTCTACTGAACTACTAAAAAGATTAAATTTTGAGAGATATTTTACTATTCCAGTAGAAGTATAGCTTTAGTAAAAGTCTTCTTGTATTTCTAGGTTTTTGCATTTTTGATTGGTTTACATTTTTCACACAGCTTATCAACTGGTAAGACATTTTACTGGATGAAATACATCCCTCTCTATTCCCTCCTCTCGTTCATCTTTCAGGGAGTAGATAAAGAAAAGAGGAGCCAAATGCTCAGAACATGCAGCAAGGATCTGCATAAGAACTGAGTTTCTAACAATGCTATGTTCCGAGTCCAGACAGAATTCGGTAATGCCCAATTAACACGGGTTCTCCTGATGACTCACCAGGATTCCACCCTCAGCACCCAGGTTAGCAGCGATTTCAGGGAAATCTCCATCTCTGGAGAAATAGCAGGGAGGATCTATTTGTTTGCCCCCAGTTATCAAGGCTTGGCCCAGGAGAGCCACTCCTGCCCCTGTGAGAAAAAGCTCCACTGTCTCAGCCCAGCTGGGAATTTCCTGTTGTCTTGACAGAGACCAGCATGGAGCAGGCAGAGAGACCAGCACCTAACAGCAGCAGAGAGCAGCCAGGTAAGGAGAAGTGGGAGCCAGTGAGGCTGAGCCACCTCCAGTGGCAGAATGGCAGGCTGACATTTGGAAAAGCAGCCATGAAATCCCTCTGCACGTAACCCAGCTCAAAGGGGAAACATCTCTTGGTCTGGCGGGGACAATCCTTTCTGTGGGAGGATGTGCTGTCCATGCTGGACCAGCAACTGTGATTCTGACTTGGAAACAGGAAGTAGGGTGTGGTGAGGAAGGAGAAAATGGGCTTGGCTGACCCAGGAGCAGGGGCTGCGAGCTATAGCTCAACTTGGCCAGAAGTTCAGACCCAGGAGCCTGCATTCCCAGAACCAAAGAGAGACTCCTGCGCCAGCTGTGCAGGGCCCTCCTGCTCTGGCCCTAATCCCCACCTTGGCGTTACGTCATGCTCCACACTCCGTGATTGCAACGGCGCCATGGATGCCATTCTGAGCCCCACGGAGGGGGTTTGTCCTGGACAGGAATCCAGAGACTGTGCCGTCTTTGCTGGAGGAGGACACAGGTAGGCAGTGATGCAGGCATGGCGGGCGGCTCACACACAGTCACACACCGTGTGACTCACAGAGATCAATGCGTGAAAGCAGACATCACCATATTTAAGTTACAGCAACAGAGGTGCCGCTAAGAGCGTGTCTCCCTGCGTGGAAATGTGAATCAAAGTCCAGAAGATGGGGCGAGTACCCAATTCGAGTGAGAGGAAGGAAGGGCAGGACCTACCATGATGGAGCAGGTTCCTGCAGACCCTCGAGATGCTGGGCCTTGAGCTCTGAACCATGAACCATGCGTGAAGGGGTGCCGTGATTCTCAGGAGCTGACCGTGCCAAGGCCACCCCGATTCTCCGTACAGACACTATCCCTAGACAGTGCGGAGAATTGGAGCTTGACGTTCTCCTTATTTGACCTTAGAAGTGTCCATCACCCCGTTTCTGCTGCCAAGACACCCCACATGCACTGATGTCATCCTCGTTGCCATTTAACATGCAGATCTGTCCCTTCCAGGGTGTCGTACACACTGTCTGTGGCCATGGCTGACGAATGACCTAGTGATCAGACTGTGCTGTTCTTTGTGCATTCTGGATTTGTAAAGTTTTTTATTATGCATTGTATCAAATCTTCCACTGTAAAGTAGAAATTAAGACTTGATGTACTTTAGCCATGCGTGGTGCTGCACGCCTGTAATTCCACCACTCAGGAGGCTGACGCAGAAGGATCACTGCGAATTTGAGACCAGCCTGGGCTACATACTGAGTTCCACGTCAGTCTCAACTACATAGTGAGACCCTGCTTAAAAAAAGAAAAAGAATACTTTCTGTAGTTTTAATATGTTGTAATACTTCTTTAAATAAATCTCTCCTATAAAACAAACAACAACAACAACAACAACACTGAAGAAGCAGTTCGACAAACAAAAAATCTCGATAGCCTGTTCCTGCTCCTTGTCTCGCCTTCCCTCTGGGAATCTGGGTGTGTGACGTGAGTCTGTTGACATCTGGAGGTTAAGATGCTGTCTTCTTTCTTTCTGTCTATCGTTCTTTCTGTCTTACTCTCACTCTCTCTGTTTCTTTCTTTCTTTCTTTGCTGTCTTCTTTCTCTTAATAACAGAACCCACCGCAGCCTCTGGAACCCTCAGCTTGGAAGTTCTCCATCACCTGTGCCTCGTCACGAACACCTCCAGTTTGCGCTGACACTGCTCTGCCTACTTGCTTCTGGGAGTTGACCCAGGTTGAAATGATCTCACGCCTCAGCACTTTGCTGGGATTAATTTCACTAATTTAACTCACACAGGCAGCCATCTCATCCCCGTTACATAGGAAAAGGGTGGTGGAAAACTGTGGTGAATACTTTTAAATATTTCAAAAATGTATTACAAGAGAAGACACAGGGCCAAGAGTCGTGGGATAAATGTGTTGGAAGCAAGAGGGAATATTTTCAGAAATAATGGCAATGTGTCTATTACTCTACTTATTTTCTAGTTCGGACATTCACTATATTTTTGAGCACCACACATGTCCTGGAAGCAACGTCCTGCAACGATTCCCTACGGCGTCCTCTGCTCCGATAGCCAGGCCTCTAAACAGAGGAGACTCCCTCTTTCTCTTCCCTTTCCTGCTGGTTCTGAGCTCCCCTCATGCATCTCCTCTGGTTTCCTGGTTAGACACCAAGAATTCCTTTGGGACCATTGCATTCGTAAGGTTTCCCTGACTGCTCTCTGGGGTCCTGGGTTCTTCTGGGATTATCTTTTCTACGTCTTATCTTTTCTCATGGATCAGTAAATCTCTTCCTCCCCAGAACGAGAGCATCCAGCTACAGCAGCATCCGCCTGTGTCCTTCAGACCGGCAGAAAGGAGGAGGCCCACTGCTGGGTACAGACCATTCCACTCGGGTAAATTTTCAACAAATTTAAATCAAAACATAGAACACGTATGTGCAACCTTCAGCCCACAGGTTGCATGCGGGCCTGTACAGCGAGTGATGTGGGCCTCCAGACTGGAAACTATCACTGCTGTGTTAGTTTTATTTGTTTTTCATGACAAGATCGCCTGTGCTGAGAGGACTGTGTTTTCTAGTGCAGGGTGCAGTGCAGCAGTGGCTCTGCCTCCTGTGCCCAGCACAGTCAATCAGATAGATGCACCTGTGCCTGGCTGTGATGTGTGTCTGCGACCTGACGGGTACTTACGGTACCACTGGAAGTACTATTTCAACCCACCAAGGCATGTGTGTGCCTGTGAGGAGGAAGGTGTTGACATATAATGCTCTAATATGATGACACTTTCTTCCCCACAGGCATGGAAGGGGACAACCACACTACAGTCACAGAATTCCTCCTCCTGGGACTCTCTGGGCAGCAGGAGCAGGAAGATGCCCTCTGCGGGCTGTTCCTGTGCCTGTACCTGGTCACCATCCTCGGGAAACTTCTCATCGTCCTGGCCATCAGCTGTGACCCTCACCTCCACACGCCCATGTACTTCTTCTTGGCCAACCTCTCCAGTGTGGACATCTGCTTCTCATCAGTCACAGTCCCCAAGATGCTGGTGAATCACGTGGTGGGGAGCAAGTCCATCTCTTACCCACAGTGCACGACCCAGATCTACTTCTTCATCACATTTGGCAACATGGACGGGTTCCTTCTGAGTGTGATGGCCTATGACCGCTACGTGGCCATCTGTCGCCCACTGCACTACACCGTGATCATGAGGCCCAGACTCTGTGTCCTCCTGGTGGTCATCTCATGGGTCATTACCAACCTGCATTCTCTCCTCCATACTCTGCTCATGGTCAGACACAACTTCTGCTCCAACAACACTGTGCGCCACTTCTTCTGTGACCCCTACCCTCTCCTGAAGCTCTCTTGTTCTGACACCTTCATCAATGACCTCATGGTTTTCACTGAGGGTAGCGTGATATTTTTGACACCATTTATGTGCATTGTTGTTTCATACGCCTACATCTTCTCTAAAGTACTGAAGTTGCCCTCAGCCCAGGGGATAAGGAAAGCCCTCTCCACGTGTGGGTCCCACCTCACTGTGGTCTCCCTCTTCTATGGGACAATTCTGGGGGTCTATATGCGCCCTTCATCCTCCTACTCAGTGCAGGACACGGTGGCCTCTGTCATCTTCACAGTGGTGACACCACTGGTCAATCCTTTCATCTACAGCCTGAGGAATCGGGACATAAAAACAGCCCTGAAGAAGCTAATTCACAGGTCCCAGAGTTAGGATGCTTTAGAACTCAGTGCTGGATGTCATACATTAATTTGTCATACAAACAAAGAGATAAAAATGCACTTGGGGCTAATACCCCTGGCTATTAGTGATCTGTGATCATGGTCCAGTTTTAAGTTTGTGGATGACAGGTGCTCATGATTATAAAAACCAGTAAATTTCCTACTAATTGGGCTGTATACAAGAAAGACATTTTACAGACAAGGAAAATGAAGAATCAAAAATATTTAGCTTTCCTTCATTTTTGGGTCTAGCCAGCAGCCCCATGAGACACCAGCAACCACAGTGATCTAGGAATTTCAGAAGACTTTGGAGCTGACTACCCTTAGTCAGAGAAAAAGATGCTACTCTTTCCTGGTAGCTGGCTCATTTGAAAGACTGACTTGTCCAGGGCTGTATAAGTTGTTGCTGTTATTTACAGAATGGTCCGATGATCTCCCCATGCTCAGGATTTGGTCTTGCCATCGTAGGTCTTTCTTCCGACCGAGACTTCAGTTCTCCCCCATCTCTCACAGATCTGGACTTACCCTTGAATGACCCCACACCACCCTAACTTCTGATGTTTTGTGACTCCGCGTGGGTTCTGGTTATGGAGGGGTGACAGGAAGTTACAGAGAGCAGCTCCTTCACTGTGGAACTGGTCATACCCCTTCGGGTTTAGATGGGCTGTGGGAAACAGAGTACCCTGAAAGCTGACATGTTCGAGTTTGTGTAGCTCTTCGGGGCGTGGAGATATGCATCCATTGTGGATTTGGGTTGGGGACCCAGGACTTCTGATTCCAAGTCCAGAATTTGTTCTGCTCTATCGGGCCCAAGCGCACGCCTCTTCCTGTTCCACACAGGAGTACCGACAAGGTCAGTTCCCGCCTTGTCCTACTCAGTCCTGACAAGGTCAGTTTCCCCCTGCTTGCACTGGTGTCCAGAGCCTCATCACCTGAGTCCCCAGTGCTCACACTTCCACGGCCGGCCCCTCACTGGCCTTCCTGCCTGTCGGTCCTTCCCTTCTGGGTTCCCGCCAACCTCCTGGGCAGTCAGTGCTCACGTTCCTCAGCAGCAGCTCCTTCCTGACTGGGTTCTGCCCCTCACCAGCCCTTACCCTGATCCCACGGCTCCTGTCTCTCCCTCTACATCTCTGTCCTCATCACAGGCTCAGTTTAGGCCTCCTCAGGCACTCACTGGACCCCAGAAGCCAATTCTAAAAGAAACATGGAGGAGGACAGGAGAAGCCCACACGGGAGAGTGGGTTCAAGCAGAAAGCCTGGCATCACTTGGCCTCACACTGCCTTATACTTCTCCTCATTGACGGAAATATTTCTCACTTCAACCACATTCTCGGCAAGTCTGAAGACTCGCCTTTTTTTATAAATTCTAAAAGTGTACATTTGTCTTCAGTCCTCCATGAACCGTGTGCCTAGACATGGTAGAGCACACCATCAGGGCTCCTCAAGCTGAGTGTGGACTCCCAGGAGAGCGTGTGGTGGCAGCAGGAACCTGACTGCACAGCACCGGCTTCACGCACTTTCTGACTGCTCACATTCATCCTAGATGAGGTTCAGTGCGCTGCTTCAGTAAAACACACGGACGAGGTTTTGCTGCTTCAGGATCTGAGACTCATTTTGTCCCCATCCTAGTCTTCCCTGCATTACCCACATCTGCACACTCCTCTCACCATCCTTACATTACACTCAGTTTGGGGAAACAGCCACAGCTTATGAAGGACGGACACCCTACAGGCTCCGCAGAGTTCCTGCTCTCCTGAAGAGCCATGTATTGAGGAATACCTGATGGTACGTGAGTGTCATGGGTGAAGGAAACCAAAATACCTCTTGCTAAAACAGTGAGGATTGCCGGGGATTTAGCTCAGCGGTTTGGTGGCCTGCCTTGCAAGCGCAAGGACCCGAGTTCAATCCCCGGTACCGAAAAAAGAGGAAGAAAACATTGAGGATTGTTGAGCTGAGGAAAGTGAAAAAGCAGCAGCTTTCTCTGCCTCCCCATGCAGGAGGAAGAGTCACAGCAATAGAAGGTCTTTCTATCCATCCCTCCTTTGCCTCCTAAAGCCAGAGGCATAAACCCTCCCCTACTGGAGCAGCCACCACACAGATGGTGTGGGCAGAAGCCACAGGAAACTGGGAGGAGATTTTATGGGCCTCCCACACTTTCCCCAGCTCAGAACCCAGGCGTCCTTGTCCTTTGTCTGGTCACACTAAGCTGTGATGCACTTCACTAAAATGCTAGTAAGCACAGAGTTCCAGTCCACTGTTTTGAGACACGGTGGCTTTCCCAGAAGATCTACTTCTTCCCTGTGTAAGGCATGGCACATGTTTTTAGCCCTGCTGTTTTTCCTCCTGACAATCTGCTGTGTGTTCAAGGGCATCTCTCCCAACTAAGAACCTATGGGTTTTTAGGAAAAAAAATGTATTTTTAGTACCTTGTGGGAAACTGGGAATTTGTATTCCTACATATCAAAAGTAATGGAGTAATGGAGCAGAATCTGGGTAACTAGGATCTGACAAGGACATCACGTGGCTCAATGGGGACACACATCACTGGGACACAACCACGAAACCAGGTTGAATGGGAAAAGCCAGGGGTGACTTCTCAGATTGATTTCTCAACCTGTCTCTCCCTAAAGTCTCACTCAAAAGTTGGGTATCTGAAGGAGAATGAGGACTTATTAAAAGGCACAGGGCCAAAAATAAACGCGTTCTCTAACCACATGGTCCCCTCAGCTCATCATGGGAAGTCATTCTTGGCCATGTGGAAGTCTGCCTAAAGGAGTAAAGAAAGCCCTGCAAGGTCAACAGTTGGTGTGGGCAGCGGAGGAAAGGCCTGTGCCTTGCTTGGACTGCCCTCGCCATGAATGCTTACGGGCTGATTACTTCTGCATGACCCTCATGTCTGTCAGCCTCCAACTGCTCTGAACCACTACAGCATCACAGAAGCCCCCGTCTCTCCGTGGGGCCAGTACGCAGGGGGATGGGAAAGATGGCTCCAGGCACCCAGGTAATTCAGGCCTGCTCATGAGTCTTTGCGTGCAGTGCACTCACAGGACATGAACTAATCAGAAGTCACAGCGAAGCATTGTGAGAGGTCTCTAGTGATGTCACGTTATAGAAGCAGATGCGATGCCAGGCTGGGAGCGCCCTCCGCAGGGACACACAGGAAGTCAAGACTGTGTCTGTCCTCCAGGGCCCGAGTTCCCAGGGGCCAGGCCTGAGCCAGGAGCCTCCTTCCTGCAGCATGGGCTCCTGGGAGGCGCCTCACCCTCTTCCCCACCGGCAACTGCCACTCTGTACTAATTAGCCATTAGGGGCCTACCCTTGGGAGCCAATTAAAAACTTGGGGAGAAAGTTTCACTTCAGTTCAGTGAATGTTGAAATACAGCGTCATCCTTTCTACCTGCACCACTCCCCAGAGACCATTCTCTCCGGAGGAACCAGGGCTTGCCCCTGTCATGGCCATCGGAGACCTTTCCATGTTTCATGGCATCACCTCCCTCAACTTGTCCTTCAAGTTCCTACTCCACGGCCAGGCCTACCAGGGAGCCTTCGTGGAGAGCCTGGTAATGTCGCCTCAAGTGAGAAGCCCTCCCTGACATTTGCTAGTGGCCGCAGTCTTCTACAGAGTGTTCTTATCACCCTGGATTAATTAAATTGTCTCTGTTGCTTCAGGGCCAACGCTACGCTTTCTACTACTTTATATCTGACAAGGAGCCCTCAGCAATGATGGGGGTCTGGGCCACATGGACACTGAGAGCTGGTTGTGTCTAAGTGCTGAGTTCTGAGCCCTAATAAATCTGACTCTACACTAACTCTTCATGTGTGAGTCTCAGGATTCTGACCAGCTGATTTTCAACCTGGTCATCTGTCATTTGTGCTGAGCTTCATGCTTATTGTGTTGCTGATCCAAAATTAGTGGTTTTGGCTCCTAGAAAACAAAACACCTGATTTTGTCCCTGGTACAGGGAAACCAAGGTGAATCTGGAGCATCCTGTAGTATTAGAAAATAACAATATACCAAAAAAAAAAAAAGAGAGAAATAAAGAAAAGAAGAAAGGATAAAAGAAAGGCAGGATGGGGAGGAAGGAAAACTAGAGCAACTCCAGAACAAAATAACCTAGGTATTATAATTTGAGCATCCCTGGAACAAAATAACCAATGTATTATAATTTGAGCCTCCCTACTCAGAAATCTGAAATGCTCCAAAAACCAAAACTTTTAGGGAATTTGATGGCACCAAGGGAAAATTCCACACCTGATTTACTTCACAGGCACAGTAAAGATGCAGTTACCATAAAAACATTATATAAAATTACCTTCTGTGTATGTGTAAAATTTTTACCTGAACTGTAAATTTATTTCAGGTTTACACTTACATGCCATCCCCAAGGTATCTCAAGATGGATATGCAAGTATTTCAGAGTCTGAAAAAATGTGTAATACTTCCTATCCCAACCATTTAGGAGAAGGGATACTAAGCTAATCTTGGACTATAACTCAAAGAATGAAATGAGCATAAATAAATCCATATGGATAAAGTCAAGTAATTGAATAAGCAAATAAGTGAGAGTGAAGGAACCAACTTTCTTTCCAGAAGATTTCCAAGCAGTGTGTGGATGCACTTCATCCTCCCAACTCCCCACCCACCAGAGTGTGGAGCTGAATTCGCTCCTCTCCCACGGAGGGTGAGCTGGAATCAGCACTTTCTGCCAAACAGTAGATGATGGAAGGAGAAAATAATCTTCCGAGAGCCCTTGGACCAAGTGGTGGAGGTCTGCATCACCTGTGACGGGTCCTAGTGAAAACGTGTCCCTGAGATGGTACGATGTGGACATTTCACCCATGTGGAGCTTCTCCAAAAGCCAAAGTGACTGGATCATCATGATCAAAAAGATATATGATAAAATGCCTGACCAAGATCCACATTCTCATTGTGAGACACAATACATAACACGTGCAACGTAAGGGAGGGTTTATTTTGGCTCACAGTTTTTAGACATTTCAGTCCATGGTCGGCTGTCCCCAGGCAGAG